CACGGTCTCTGAGCCACGGGCCCTCCGCGCACGCGAGAGGCCAGAGCATCCGTGTCGGGGTTCGGTGTGGGTGTCAGCACAGCGCAGGGACAGGCGGGCCTCGGGGCCCCGTGTGGGGCAGGGCCCTTCCTGAGGCGCGTGTGGGCTCCGTTCTCCCGGGTCCGGAGGCCCGGGCTCCCCTCTGCTGTCCTTTATTCAGCTATTAAACATGTCTTGGCCCAGGGCGCCGTGTGTCAAAAAAGGTAGGAAATGCCCCTGACCTTGAGAACTGCCTCCTACGCACCCTCCCTTCTCAGACAGCACCCCTCAAGTCTAGGACTTGAACCCAGACCCCTTGGCGCCCTATCCTGACAGTCCCCACCCATCTGGGAAAAACAGGGGTGGGGAGGAATTCCTTGGGAGCTCTGTCTGGGGCCTCCCAGAGGAAGGGTCGGGGGCAGAATCTGCAGAGGCAGCGCGATCCAGCGGAAGGCGTCACTGCTCTAGGTTCCCAGACATGGCTCAGGCTGTGACCTTGAGAAAGTCATGCAACTTCTCTGGACCTCAACTGCCTCATCTGTAAAATGGAAATACCAACACCGGAATGTTGTGGTAAGGGTGCCCAGCGCAGGATCCGCCCTGCCTAATGGGACCCCTGCTGGCCAGGGCTGTGCTGGGGCCTGGCTGCTACTTTGCTACTGGATCATCGCGGAGGGGATGAATAAGCAAGCCCTTAGCTCTGGAGGTTTGGTCATGTTCGCTAGATGGACTGGGAGGGTGGTGTCCAGATGCTCGGACCCCTGTGGCCAGGAGGGAGAGGCAGGCAGGTCTCTCAGGCCCCAGAGGCTCCCCAAGCTGGGTGTGGCACCCATGTATTTCCTTGTCCGAAAACCCTTCCCCGAAGCTGGCGCTGCAGGGTCCAGGCTCTAACTGTTTCAGGCTGCACTTTCACTGAGGCTCCGCAGAGACCCAGACGCCCAGCCCACCCCAGAGCTTCGTTTCTTTAAGTCTGAAGGTTTTTATTTCCATGCAGGTGAAAATTTCTTTTAATTTTCTGCTGCTTATACTCAGGGTGAATTCATTTCGTCAGATCTCTCCACGAGAATAACCAGGCCAGTGGCTTTCCACTCTTTCTGCCTCTCTTCACATGGGAAACACCACGATTACTCACAACTCTCGGGACACATGATTACCTGAAGTCAGAGCGTTGTATGTTGTAGGGGGTTTCTCAGCAGACCCGCAGGCGTGTACCGTGAGGAAAAGCCATTTCTGCTGCCCTCCCCCGCCGGCCAGTGGCCAGACTACCCTGCGGATCGCGTCACCAGAGGGCGAGGCTCTCGCGCCTCCAGCACGGTTTCTGGCCCACACAAT